AAACATTTATCTTGTAAGCATAATTTGATTTTAAAATAAACCTAATGCAGGAGAAAGACACCTCAATCGGTACAGGAAGCATACTGATTCTACGTAGCTGGACCTGATGGCTCAACTGATTCAAATTTGGAACTGCTAGAACTGCATTGTCACGATCTATTACTTCCTAGGCGGAGGAAAAGCTTTACGTTGATAGCTAATTGACTTTTCACTGCACCAGAATAATTTGAGATCTGTATCTTTGGATATAATTTAGAATTATCACACCTGTATTTCATTACTTACTTGGCAAGTTGAAGGTTTTGGGTTATCCGGTATTGAATTGGAATTTCCATAAGGGCAGCAAGTGCAAATGCTGCTTCCTTCTTTGATGCATCTTTGTTTTCAGACATGATCTTTGTGAAATTCACAAACTGAAGGGGAAAGAAGGACAAAAAGTGGATAACATGTCCATATTATAATAGTAGTATTTAGTAGTAGTAGTAGTAATAAAAACTCAAATCATAAATGGTTCACAACTAAATGTGGGTATTCTAAAATATGGAACACTTAAATTTTGCAGTCTTTTTCTACTATTACGCAGTCATTTTAAAACTGATTACCTCCAATCACATACTCATGCTATGTTTAAAATATATCAGAAAGATTTCTTCAAATGCTGGTTTTAAATTATCGTTAGAAAAAGAATTTTTGGACTAATTCAACGCGAGTATAAACTAGTCGTATCTACCTTATACACTATAAGTTGATTATATCTCAGTAGTCCAGGCAGTACTGTTTTTTTCAATTCAAGCTGTCATGTCATTTACACAAGTATGTTTTTATGACTTTTCTTTGATACACAAAGTTGTTTGTTAGCTTCAACTTGAGGGGAAATTACAGAATATTACCGTATCCCATGTAAAAGAGTACTATTGTTTTTATTGTGTCAGTACATAGTTAGTGTTGTTGGGTGGGTCATTTATTAGTTGTAAAATAATTTGTACTCGACCTAGATTACAGGCAGAGAAGGGGTATAAGACCCATATTATATTCAGAATCTAGTTATAAGTATTTCTATACCCTTAACGTCCCCTAAAATTTAAACAATACTAAACACTAATTACAAACTCACGAAAATGAGCACATAGTCGGATACATCAGTCAAATACCTGAAAGTTGTCAAATAAGCGCTGAGCAATGCTATCATCGAAGTTCTTCATTTCATCCCATGGACCATCTCCAACTCCAACCAAAATAATTGAGAGGGGATAGTGACTGATGAATGATGATCAGAATAGCTCTACACTAAAGACAGATACCAAGAGCAGTAGCAAAAGAAATTGCTTTACCTTGCAGCAATAATGGAATTAATAGTTGTTCTTCCTGTGGGCTAAACTTTCCATGTGGTGTGCCTGAATTTCTGGTAACCTATAAAAAGAAGATATTTCAGAAATAAAAAATAAAATTTGTGAAATAAATCATGTCACGAAAAGATACTAATAAAATAACATAAATAGGTAAAACCTGTCCATCAGCAATAAGGACAAGAACATGGTATTGACCATTGCTTCTTTCCACAATATCAACTGCTGCATCGATTACAGGGGCAAATGATGTTGGACCTATGTATAAGGAGATAACTGTCAGGATGGGTATCACTGTTTAGATACCCAAGTCATCTTTCTCCTTCAATTTTTTTTTCCTATTTGGACTAGAAGAATAATTCATTGAAGAAAAATGAAATATAAAGCAGGATTATCCTTAAAATGATATAAAACCTAAAGAAAAAGACCAGAGCATATGCATCAACCTAAAAGGGAAATTTAGTGCACATTTATGCATAGCTTATTTTAGACAAATAAGCACTTTGTTTTAAAAAACTCTTTCGGGAAGCTGTAGAAAAGAACTTTCATGACCCTACATAAGATCGTCAACAGAAAGTTTGCAATTAATGGAAACAGCAAAATAATCATATCCACTTGTCCTACTCTAACTGGGAAGGAATAAATGAGCTGCTTTCACGTTTTTTATTGGTGCCTACAGTTCTTCCATAAAACTCGCTTCAATCTCTAGTCCAACTTGGCAGATGATATTCTTGCATTCTACTTCTAGATCAGGTAATTCTAATTTTATATCTAAACCTCGGTATATTGGTTCTAGAGCTACGAAGCATAGACACCGACATGGGGATACAACTAAATTGATATATATATATATCAACCCGGCTCACCCACATATTTGAGCCGGGTTTGGTTTTGAAAAAAAAATGTAATTTTTTTATGCAGGTTAGTTTTCAACCCGGCTCACTTAGAACCCGACTCACCGGATTGAATCTGTAGTGAGCCGGGTTGGCTCACCAACCCACCTAATTTAATTTAATATTTATTATTTTGTGTTCCAATATTATTAATTAACATTTTTTATTACATTGCAGATAGTGATAAAAAAGATGTTTCAAGAGAGAAAAATATTATAAATTTATTTATTCAAAACCCTAATATTATAAATGAAAAAGTATTACAAAAGTTATCAATATTAAAAACTTATTTGTTCGTCTTTTGTACATGTTTTTGGATTACGAAACATTTATAAAAAAGAAGTCTAACAAAATATTTTGTCTCTTATGATACGTAGACTTGCCCTTCAAGAGTTGTCATTAGGGAGCATGAACTGTTAGACACTGATATATGGACACGTATTTTTCAATACATAAAAAATGCTTTGAGCCAAGGATTATAGTATGAAGATAAAGGCAATACTAACATGGTTACTCTAATGTGGGTTGGACAGGATCACCTATAGAAGATTCAATTTTGGATATTGTGTTCCTATTAGAGATCTCATGGAAAAACAAGAAACATAACATAGTTTCTAGATCCAGTGCAGAAGCAAAATATCATGTTACGACAACAACCACTTGTGAGCTTACATGGCTAAAGCAACTACTACAAGAACTAAAAATTGTGGACATATTTGTTACACTTTACAATACATCAAACCTAATCTTCCATGAAAGAACCAAACACATAAAGATTAATGATCACTTTTTTAGAGAAAAGGTGCTCTTTAGAGTAAACACAACCGATTTTGTCAATTCTATCAACCAATTGGTAGACGTGTTCACCAAGTCCCTCATATGCCCTTGGGTTAAGTACATTTGTAACAAACTTAGTATATATGACATATACTTTAACTTGAGAGAGACTGTTAGAATTGTAATTAGCCACTAAGCAATTACAGATTGTAGAAAATTAGGATAATTTATTCCTTGATTTTTAGTCAAGAATTTGTTATTTTGTTTAATTCCGTTAAATTGGTATAAACATACACTTGTAGCATTTGACACACAACATTCAGATAACACTTTCTTATAAACTGCATACAAAGCCCATTACTTTCACAAGTTTTCTAGGTCATTGGATCAGCACATCAACTAGCATGTCTTCTACAAGTTTTTACGTCATATTTTCATGTATACATTTTATAATTTTTCTTACAGTGGTGACTTGCCATCATCATCATACAGGTGCTTCTAGACAATCACTATAGTAGGGTTATTCTGCAGGGGTCCTAAATATGTTTGATATATAAACTTGTAAAAGAAAATTGTCAAAAATGGTCAGCAAGGACAACAATATTAAACCTGCCAATTTTAAGTGTGGCACAATCTCTCGGTAGCGTGCAAGTACTTCCTCAAAACCGTGACAATAGCGATCATCGGGATAAAAGCTGAACACATTCTGATCATGTGTATATGCTACAAAAGTATACTAATAATATCAATAGAGGAGAACAAATAAAATTTCTTCGAAAAGTAAATCAGAAACAGCTTCTCACCATCACCAAATCCAAAACATGGGATCAGATTGTCTTCATCAAACGAAGAGAGAGTACGGCCAATAATAGAGATCGCTTGCTCATATGGATTAGGAGTGTTTCCAATATAATGAAGGCTTTTATGGTTGAAAGAATATTTTCCTACAATTACCACGGTGTGACTTTTCAGCGTTCTCCACAGTTATATGTACGTATACAATTAATTTTATGTTCAACAGAAATAACCTGTCCACTCATTGCTTTTGGTGAAGTCAATACCAATTATAAGATTCGAAGACTCCAAACCAGCCTTCTCTCAAAGCGGAAACAACCTGAGATAATAAACATGCAAAAGCTAAGTTTTTAGGAAATTCCTCGCGAAAACAGCACGGTAAGGGGGGTACATCTTTCTGCCAGAGAATGTTGGCCTAAACATTTTTCAAGACTAACAAATTCCATTTGATTTTATCTTGTTGCGTCCTTAAATATCCTCATATAATTGTTTCCAGTCTCCATAGCTAAACCACTGAGTTAATAGCAAGTTGGTTAATTAGTTTCTTTCTTATCAAATGGACCTAAAAGCAATATGTTAGCTTTTATAAGCGTGCGTTCAGGCAGTGCGAACCTTTTTAAATGGACCCACATTTCTTCAAAGTTCATATTTCTTCTGAAACTAAAGCAGGCTATCAATAAATTTATATTTAAAAGTTGTAACACATTCAATGACTATTAGTATGTCCATATATAGATAATATAGATAACTCGAAAACTTTAAAAAAATAGTGATGTTCAACTGATCAACAAATTCTTACACAAGTTGATTTGAAATTATATAATCAAACAAACTAAAATTTTCCTACAAGTCTGATTGAGGATTCATCCTCTAGTATACCAGAAAGCAGTTTTCCTTGGAATGATAAGATTAATAATTACTATTCCCCTAAAATCAATGAGCAAAAAGTAGCAGTTGAAACCTGATCCAATGAAACTGAAATTTCAGGGTATATATGTGGGTCGCTGCTTATGCTGATGTTTGGTATTCACCAAACTCCCAGCATATAAAGAGGGTTGAACCGGTTGATGATATTGATAGCTAGTATTCATTGAACTTTCATCCTAGGACGGGTGGTGGTCATGATATTGATGACTAGCACTTGCTGAACTTCCAACGAAGGAAGGGGGTTGATGATATTGGTAGCTAGTATTTGCTGAACTTCCTTCAGAGTACCGGGGTCGCTGGTGAAAATCAGCATGAGAATCACTTGACTCTGCATTTCCCATAATTAAAAGTCCTTTCACCTATATCAAAATTAAAAGTAATAGACAAACAACATAGAATTGGAGATAAAAACAATAGGACTAAATACAAATTAAAATGAGAACCACAACAAAAGAAGTGATAAAAATTCACACTAGTTGAAAATACTATATATCTGGACTCAAATGAAAGCAAAATTACGTAAGTTCAGACTAATGAATAAAGTAGTTATGTTCATCAAATACTTTTCACTGCATGAAATAAAGAGGCGCTTTAACTAAATCATCCCCAGTCATATTTATTTCAATGATGCTCAAGTGCAAGAATAAGTATATCTGACATAAGAACGTTAGATGAGGTTAAGATAATCAGAATTTGGTTATATTTGTTAAACATGGCCATTATTATTTTTTGCTTATATGAGAAAGTATTACCTTCAAGGGAAAATGACAAAATAATAACCGGATCAAATCATTGTAACAACCCTAATTAGCATATATTATACCACTAATTACATCATCACATAATTAGTGATAGACAGTAAAGAGTGTAAATATATATGTAAGATCTCATTTAATAGTGTACAACTACTAAACAAAACAATATAGATATAATAAGCATTAAGGAGGGAAGACTAACACTTTATAACTAGATGTTACCGTCATTCATACAAATATGTACTGCAAACAGAGAGCCATATAGTATAACAGAAACAAGAGTTTGTCAAACAGAAGAATATTATACATAATAAGGTATCCTAAAACTATACGAGGCACCATTCTATTTGCATTGGATCAACTACTACTCTTTATTTTGCTTACATTATTAGGGTGATTCATTGCAAACAAAAAGATCACATAGACAAAATAAAACACACAAGAAAGGGAAACTAAGGTGCAATAAGAGTAACAATTAAAAAACAGGCATAGAGATATTATCACATATAAATCATTCTTAACAACATACATATCACATACAAAGACTCATATTAGACTCAACAATCTGAATACGTGTATTGATATCATACCCTGGAGAGTTTTGTACTTGTAGTGGCCTCTGCGCCATTGCCAATGGGTTTCACCATACCACACGCAAGGTTAGTTCGTTAACATTTTTTGCCAAGGTAAAACCCCTAGAATAGGACCACCTGCTCCTCTCACCAGATTTACCCAACCCATCTCTAGTTGAGATTATAGGGTTATTTAGAAACGACAAGATGAGCTCTTAAAAAACAGAGAATCCATTATATCAATACACACATTATTTTAACCACCACTAATACTCCTTCGGATTAGTACGAAACGTTCTCATATTACATATAAACAAATAATCATTTTAACAGAACAAAATCACACATAAAAAACGACAATAAGAGACATAAAATTAGTTAGATGATAATTTCGCTCAACGAGAATCTCTACTCGCTCAATGTGTAGTGTCCGAAAGCACATTCACCCAACGACTGACAATTCACCCCCAACGAGAATACATTAGAACTATAAACTAAATCCTCACAAAAGTTGCCCAGCGAGACTTGTCTTGTGGAGCTACAACTAGGTCAATGAGCTCTCTAACTCTGGTGGTGCCTAACGACCACCGAGTTAGTAATTCTCTTACTTTGACTTCTCTCAGCGAGTATATTCTTGCCTAGGGATTGTCAAGTCAGTGAGCTCTCTGACTTTCGTCTCGCTCAACGAGTATATTCTCGCCCAACAACTACCAAGTCAGTAGCCCTCTGACTTCAACTTCGCCCAGCGAGTCTTAATCAAACCAGAGGCTAGAGTAGATACCATAGATCCATACTGTAGCTCTCCCAAGTAAACTCAACTCTAAACAGAAGCCTTCTGACACAAGAAGTGTGTCGCTCAAGAATCATACAAAACACTAAGATTCCTACTGGCTATCACACAACTGCCAACAATAAGGTTACCTGATCAAACTTCCTCTACTCCAGACCATTAGCATACCACCCTCCTTGTAGCCTGAGGTTTGTCACCCCTCTTCTTCTATTGAGATGTCTACTGAGGTTGAGCGACAACACTATGCTAGAAGGAAATCCTTAGCAAAGTCCCTTCTCACCAGAATGGTACATCTCTTATAACCAGCCATCTAAGGACAACGCTCCTTAGATGCGGTCCTTTACAAACATAACACTGAACCCTGCTCTGCTAAAACTGTTGCGGGGAAGAACTCCCTCTTAACCCTTAAGGCTGAGGTCTAGAGTAAGGTTTCTTCCTCTCATCCTGTCCAACTTTTGACCTAGATGTCCTTTCACTCTCTATGGTTTGTTCTGCCTGAACTTCAATCAGCCTTCAAACTTTCCACCACTTTGGCTTTCTCTATTAAAGCAGGAAACTCCTTAATAGAGTGGCACTATCACCATCTTCATGTTAGCTCTCAACCCATTCTCAAAATTTCTACACCTCCATTCTTCATTCATGGTCAAGGTATAAATATGTCCCAAATGCTTCAACTTATCTGCATACTCCGTCACTGACATGCTTCCCTGCACCAGTTGTAAGAACTCCACCTCTTTAGCATATCTCACACTATCAGGTCTAGAGTAAGGTTTCTTCCTCTCATCCTGTCTCGCTCTTGACCTAAATGGTCCTTCCACTCTTTATGGTTGCTTCTGTTGAACTTGAATCTCAACCTTCAACTTTTCCACCACTCTGGCTCTCTCTATTAAAGCAGGAAACTCCTTAATAGAGAGTGGCAGTATCACCATCTTCATGTCAATTGACCCATTCTCAAATTTCCTACACCTCCATTCTTCATCATTGGGCAAGGTATAGAAAACCTCAGATTGCTTGGAACTTATCTGTATACTCTGTCACTAACATGCTTCCTTGCACCAGTTGCAAGAACTCCACCGCTTTAGCATATCTCACACTATTAGGGAAGTATTCAGCATAGAAGTTCCTTTTAAACAACTCCCAGGTGATGTTCTCCCCGCCTTCTTCTAACATTAGCCTCCATATTAGCCCACCAATGTACCGCTTTTCCAGAGAGCTGATACTCGGAATAGGTCAACCTGTTCTTCGCTGACACCTCTTGGCATCAAAGATTCTCTCCATATCACTTAACATTGATCTGCCCACATCTGGGCTTGTCTTCCCAAAAACTTGATGGATGATGTTGTAGAAGTTCTCCAACTCCATTATTCAACTTGCGGAGGTGGAATGGAAACATGCAAAGAACCAATTGATGTCCTATTCTCCTCCAACTGCCTCAATGCATCCAGATGACATTGTTGAGTCGTCTCAAAACATAGCCTAGTAGCTTCCATATGTTGCAGGGCCATTTGGTGTTGTTGCATCATGGCATCACTCTATTGCTGAAGGGCTACTGCCACAGACTCGATTGCCCTAGTCAGGTTGGGCATATCTAAGGTTGTAAGGGGAGGAGGAGGTGGCCTAGGTGCCATGACTCTGCCCACACAGATAAAAACAATTAGTCTAACTCAAAGAAACTGACATATTAGCCAAACATAACCAAGAACACACAACAAAAACTAAGCACGCCTAAACCTACAGGGTTTTCAAAGGAACAACTGCTCTAATACAAAAAATGCAACATCCCATTTAGTAGTGTAAAACTACTAAACAAAATGATTATAATATGATAATCACTAAGCAGAGAAGATAACATATAACTACTATATTACAGTTATCCATTACAAGTATTATTACATACAAGATAGTCATATAACCTTAAACTAACAGAACCAGAGTTTGTCAAAAGAAGATATACACAACAGGTAAACCCAAAACTATACAACTATACCACCCTCGTCCTGCACTAGATCAACTGCTACATCCTCATCTACTCACACCATTAAGGTGATCATTGCAAACAAAGAGAACACACAAACAAAACAAACACAGAGCAAAGGGTAACCTAATGCGCAAAAAGAGCAATCATAAAACAAATATAGAGATGTTATCACATATAAATCATTCATAACAATAACCATTTGGCATACAAAAACTCATTAGATTCCATGATCTGGACACATGTATTGATATCAGACTCTGGTGAGTTGTGCCTTCCCACCACACAAGGTTTTAGTCTGTTAACATCAGTCCCTCAATAGACCTCCTGATATATACACCACGTACCCACCCTTTCTTTAGTTGAGTGGGATGGTTATTAGAGTGAAAAGATAACTCCCACTACGAAATCCATATATCAATACTCA